TTTATTTATGTTTTTGTCAAACCCAATCGAACGACATTTTTGTTTCTGTTTTTGTTTTTCACTCGTTCGCGTCTCCCAGCGCCGATTGTTGCACGCCAAAAGCTGTTCAAGCGAGCGAGACCTTCAAGGAATTTCAACATAATTGGCTTCATTTTTATGTCTTTTTCAACACTCTATGTATGTGTGTTGGTGCTTGTGTTCATTGCCATTTCATTACATGGAAGATTGCGTGGAATGCGGCGCACCGGATGGCAGCGGAAGAGGTAAAGGATTGCGCAGACGTAGGATTGTGTTGCAGCACAAAGGCAGTGTGGTTCAAATATCGGCTGCTCAAAGAGGTGAACGAAAGGACTTTAAGTGAAATTGCCAGACGATTTCGCTGTGATATTGTTGTCATTTTCATTGAACATTCAAATTAGGTTATGTTTTGGTATTTATTTGGATCTTTGTGGCGATTTTGCACGCACTTCACACGTATTTAGGTCGGGATTTGAACTTGGTACACGGTGGGGCCAGGGTCGCTACGCGAAAAGGTCTCTTACAGTTATTGCCTTACTTAACGAGCAATTAGCTGCGGCTGCCCTTCACCACCGCCGCCGGCACCATATTGAAAGCCGTAAATGCATTACACCATATGCATTGGCGATAGCAAGAACAATACTAGTAATAATAGCAATAACAACGGCAACGAATCGCCGCCGATGAAGCATCGACTTGCTTAACATTGCATTGCTAATTAAAACTGTAAAAAGCAGCAACGTCGTGCACATCGTGGCGACCGACGATTGTTGGAGACTTAATGCGCTATACATATGCGTGAGTTTTATGCGCCGTTCATGTGTGTGCGTGCGTTATATGGTTCGGTTTAATAGTCATTTTGTTAGTAATCCTGTGTTTCTTTGTTTTTTTTTTTCGTTTGTGCACGTCTTCAATTCGAGCGCCTGCAGGCGTCTTTAGAGCTTGTAAAGTTACAAAACTGCAACACATGCGAGTACTCACCTACATATATGCTTGTGTATGTGTGCATCATTTATGAAAATGTGCAAGCATGAAATCTATGAACAACTGCGTCTGAACTTTATGTTCGCTGCGCTGTCTCGCAATAATTTCTACGCCCATTTCCGGTCGCTCAAATATGTGCGAATGCAAATACAGTCAGTCTGCTGTTAATGTAACGGACTGCAGCGAAAAGCGCGCAGCGCCCAGTGTGATCGTTTCTTGAGGCAATTACTTATTGCTTTTGAAAATGTAAGATTAAAAATTAAAAAAATGCAAAAACATTGTTTTTTTTAATAAAAAAATATTTTTTGCAAACAAATTTTTTTTATAAATTTATTTTTTTTTTTTTTGTTATAAAAATTTATTAAATTGCAACAGATTTCCATAACACAATATTGGAAATTGCTCAGTCAGTTCAATTTCTCTCTTTT